TTGTCCACGCCAGCTGGGTGTTGACCTCTCTGTGGTGCCTCCAGCATCTGCTTCTTTTCCTTAAGGCTCTCCTTATTGCCGGAGACCACCATAGGGGCTTATTACAAGCATTCTCTATTTTAGGAGGTGCGAACTCATCTTGAAGTTCCTGTAGGTTACTCTTGTTTCTATACCAGAGAGCCTCGACTGTACGCCGATCATTTTCTGCTCCCCATTCTAGAGTTAAGGCTCATGCCTGTAGGCTACTTGTGTCCATTCTTCTGAAGTTCCTGATTTTCCAGCCAGGTCAGGTCAGGTTGCACAGGACCGATAATGACCACGGCCAATCGAGCGTCCAGATTTCTTCCGGCAATATGCTGACAGTGTATGCACCCACCACTGAGAATTGCCTTCAGTTCGGCGTCCTTGCTGGAAGGGAAAAGAAAAAGTTCGNATCCAGGGCGCGCTTAAATGCAGTCATGCTTCCTCAATCTACTAATTCCTTTGGCAACCGGTTACAACTGTTCACTACTCTGTTGCTGAAGAAGCTGGATCTAACAACCAGGTTGCAATGCTGCTTATGTAGTTTATACCCATTCCCTCTAGTTCTTTGGTGGATAGCCTCTTGGAACATGCTCTCTTTCCTTACTCTCGAGAGCCCTTTTACAATCCTAAAGGTCTCCAGTAAGTCTCCTCTTAATCTCCTCCTTTCTAGCGAGAAGAGTCCCAAGACTTTTAGCCTGCGTTGGTATGACTTACCCTTTTGGCCTTCGATCATTCGGGTGGCTAGTCTTTGAACTTTCTCTAAACAGGCTGCATGCTTTTTGAGGAAGGGCGCCCAAGCCTGCACACAGTACTCCAAATGCGGCCTAACTATGGCTTTTTACAGGGGGAGGAATACGTCGGGTTTCCTACACGACAGTACCGACTTGAGCCTGGGCAGCTCTCTCCTCGCCCTCGCTGCAGCTAGTACGCACTGGTTCTCCCAGCGGAAATCTGCCGCCACCGATATTCCCAAGTCTCTGCTGGTTTTTACAATCCCTGCAGTGAACTCCCCTCCACCTAAATGGATTGACAACTGTTCATCAGCACGGGAAATTAAACTGCTTTTCTCTGCATTCAGTGGGAGGTCCCATACTGTTGCCTATTCCGTTGCTCTACACAGGTCATCCTGCAATTGCTGCCCATTGGCTGATCCTACCATCTTGAAATCATCGGCAATGATGAAGCATGGCGAACGTAGGATGGCAGCCAAGTCGTCCATAAAAATGAGGAACAGTAGGTGATCAAGCACTGAGCCCTGTGGGTATGGATTTGGCCAATAATTTGTCTTCAATCCTCACGTTAATGTACGACCGATCAGGAGTTCCCTGATTCAATTATGTATCTGCTCCCTATCCCCTTTTGTTGGAGCTTAGCTAACAGGAACCTGTGATTAACAGAATCGAAAGCTTTGCAGGAGTTTAAATAACAGACTTCCGCAGCTTTGCCCTCATCTAACCTCGAGGTTACCTTATCTAAGAAACAGTAAATTAGAAAGGCATGATCTACCCTTGGTAAACCCGTGCTGTTGGTCAGTGAGCAGTGAGTTATGAAGTAAATGCTGTGCAATGTGCGTCCTCACTATCCGTCCTATGCACTTGCACAATATACTCGTTAGGCTCACCGGCCTGTAATTTTTAATCTGGGATTGTGATCCTTGCTTGTGAATGGCAACGACAGCAGCTGTTTTTCAATCCATCGGTAGCTTGGCCTGGTCTAAACTGGCTTGGTACAAATCCCTTAGCGGTCCCGCTACTATGTCCACGATGGGCTTGACGATTGCCGGGTGGATTCCATCGGGCCCTGGAGATTTGCTTACGTTCTGCTCCGTTAATATCCGATGAACCACTTATAATAACATACATATTCTCCATTTCCTCTGATGAGAGGGCGAGATCCGGTAGTGCCAAATCGTCGCGATCCACTCGATGCACACTACTGAAGTATGTGCAAAAGGCGTCTACTTTTTCCTGGTCATTGGCAACGGTCCTACCTTCCAATTGTAGATGTCCCATCAACCATTTATTGGTACCCCTGGCTTGAGCGTAGCTGTAGTAGCATTTCGGCTCGCTTTTGGCTCGACTNAGCAAAAATGCTTCCTTACGATATCTCGTGTACTGCCTCCAAGCCATCTGGGAACCGGAAGCTCGGAAAGATTTCCAGCTTCTAGTTCTACGTTTAATTGCCCTACCTACAGCGGCCTGCCACCATGGCGGCTACTTCCTTGAACCTTTGTAGGTTAAGGGAGCAAACTCATCTTGGAGGTTCATCAGGTTGTTTCTGAATATACTCCAGCTTTCCTCTACGTCCGCGTGCGTTCCGAACTGTGCCAACTCAGTTGAGCTGCCTTAGCTCGGAGTAGATACACGTCAATCCTTCCAAAGTCCCTACACGTCCCTTCACGTGGTTTGAGTAGTTTCAACTGAAGTGTCACCTTGATGAGAAGATGATCACTTTTATCGATAGGAGGGAGATACTTTAGACTTCGTTCTCCCTCATGCGCTGTGATGATCAGGTCCAACAGCGACGGCTGTTGGCCTTCCCGATACCTGGTGTTCTCCTTCACGTGCTGATAAAGGGCTCGGGATTGAATCCATTCGAGGTAGCTTTCGCCTGAACCTCGAGGACACCTCCCGAGCTCCCAGTCAACATACCTAAGATTGAAGTCACCCATAATGACCAGTCCGGTCGAATTTCGAGCTAAGTTGTTTAGTGCCTGGATTGTCTGTTGGTTCTCCGAATGCGTGGCCCTAGGACCCCTATACATGCAGGCAATGGACATGTTTCTGCTATTTGTAGTAAGATTCACTGCAGCTAACTGCACATTGAGAGTAGAANATAAGTATCTAGGTCTAGTTGCCTCCTCCTGAGTCCTTCTATGAAAAGCTTCATATATGTACTCAAAAACAAAAACAAAAACATTTTATTGTTTTGCTTGTATTATTTATTTTACCGTAGCCCTTCTTAGTTATTCTGTGCCTGCCCATTTACTATAGCTCATTGTTACGTTTACTATAAATGATGCCAGAATAGCCCCCGGGCAAGAAGGTATATT